GTCCTCCGGCTCGTCGTCGTCGTCGACAGGCGTCTGATAACCTTGAGGAGGGGTGCGACCGGAAGAGACGCACGAGCTTACGCTGGAAGACCTCGCCAGAGGCGCCTCTCCTTCTTTTTTTTTTTCGCGTGCACCAAATACAGAGAACAGTTATAAAGGAGATGTACCATGAGTCGAGATTCAAGCTTGTTTCTTGTTTATTATTGCGTGTACGGGGTACACGTTGGGTCGAGAGAGTAAAGAGAGGGAGAAATAAAATTTCAAGTAAGGATGTTCGAGGAAGGATAGAAGGACAAATTGTTGGACAAATAATATAATCGTTTCATCCCGTCAATCTGATCGTCCTATAATATACTTTGAAGAAAGATAATTAAGAAACCGTTGAAATGATTCTTACCAACTGCGTGTATCTCTGGCTCCCTGTAACTGGGGCCTTGAATTTTCCTCTGATTCGCTTTGATCTGGTCCATCTTGAATTTCAACTTTTGCAACACGTTCTTCTCGATGTTTTCTTGGATCTCGATGCGTTTCTGATGCAACTCTTCCAATAATTCCGCGCCTCTCGACGCCAGGATGCTCATAGCTTTCGTTTCGTTGACTATGTGGAAAAAATAGTAACTCTTGAACAATCGTTTTTGGAATAATAGGAAGGTGAAACACAAGCCGTCCCAGATCATTCCTATGTCCTCCTCGGGCACGTCGCAATCCAATTTTTCCGGGATCAGATCGGTGATCGGACTTTTGAATTTTCTTACACAAATTATACCGAACAATTGAATGAACGGACACGCTACCATTTGCATCTAAAAGTTTCGATATTTTATTCGTTCCAATTGATATATTTAATAAAATCGAAACGTGATAAACGAGATATTACCTGCTCTATCATCACGCAACCGACACCTTGTAACAGAGACTTGGCGAATATGACTACCACGTTGTAGCCGATCAACAAATTCCACCATGTTAAAATCGTTTGCACTGGCCTCAAGTAAAAGTCGCTTCCTTGCCAGAGGAACACGAATGCACCGATCAAGTAACCCAACGAGAACAGATTAGTCCTCTCTGTTCCAGCCAGGAACACGATCGATAAAGCGATCCACATCAAACTTATAAATACGCCACGTTTCACTATGTCTAAATAAGTGTGAGCATGGGACACGTAATCCTTCACAGGATTTACGAAATTTGGTTTCTCTATGTTTTCGTACACGGAATAATTGTGACCGGCTGGAAACTCTTGGCCAGTTGCCTCGCTTCGCTTTTCGATTTTGAAAACGAGACTTTGCCTGACGATCATCATTAATAGCAGAAAATCACCTGTATTTAAAAAAAGATAAAAAAGATAAAGATACCCTTATCAACAGAAGATCGCGTTTGAATATTTTTTTTTTCTTTCCATTATAGCAGCCTTACACATTAATTTTCTAGCATTAGGTGGAAAATCAGGATCTGGCAGATACATCCATTCCTGTAATACCCTCAAAATTCTGGACTTTTCCCATGGATAGTCTAAAAAATTATATAAGAAAAAATCTCTAAATGTGAAATTGTTTTAAATTTTTAATTACTTTGAGGATATTCAATTACCTAGGCAAAGCCACGGGGGAGGTGCCACGACGAAAGCGTATTGAATAGGTAGGAGAATTATAATGAAAAACTTGAAGAAGGGCCAAATTTTGGATAAGGTTCTTCTCCTCAGACAGAACAATATTAAAAGCCAAATACCATAGAGGACTGAATAGAAATCGAGTCTGGTAGCGATAAGCGCCACGATTCCTATCAAACAGAATTCCACGCCAAATTTGTAGAATGCGTAATTGAAAAAGAATTTCACGCATTGTAATATTCCTTCGTCAGCATGCTGTCTGGTGATTAAGGGGAACATGACATAAGGCCTGTCCAAAGGTTCTCCTCGTGCTTTTCTGTAGAAACATTGTCGAATTCTAATTATCTTTCTGAGAGTGGTCACCACTATGATTCCTATGTAGCCTTTCAATAACTCTGCCAGATTTCCTGGCTCGGCTTTCTTTATTCCAAACCATTCCGCTATGTTATACATAGTGTTATTGCTGCTATATTGATGATTCTCTGGAATTATCTGTAAACGATAAAAGATAAATATTTTTCTTCTTGAAAAAGTGTATCGATCATGCGCATCATATTTACCGTGCAATTAATATCCCAATTGCTGTGATTGATATATTGAATTTGATACAGCATTTTTCCAACCATTAAGATACCGATTATCGCTGCTATTATATTCACGGTACATATTTGGATGTTTCTTCGAAAATTGATCATTATAACTGATATCAGGACGAATATTAAATTAATAGCACAGACCTGGAATAACGAACGAATTTTATCGAATAAAATTTAGATAAATTTATACCGATATATCTTTGATTCAAACTCACATCGTTGACGCAGAGAAGCATCACAGAAATAAAAATGATCTTTTGCATATGAATTTCGAAGAAGAGCCAAATGTAGTTATAAACATTTTTTACATGCATCATTATATCGCTAAATAACGCTACTAGTTCTATTTTAGACATGCCTGAAAATTTTCGTCAAGTCAGTATTTTTTTATCATTATCAATTTTCATTAAAAAAAAAAAATGATATGGTTCATCGTACGTTTTAACTGTTTCAACGTGTATTTAGGTTTTTCGTCATTGAGAAAAATTTGTTCTGGAGAGGATGGTGGCATAGTTAAAATCGAACGGCCAAGGCTCGGTCGTTCGATTTGAGAATCCTCGATTCTACAATTTTTTTTTTTTTTTAATATTAATTTATTTAACACGGTTAATTTATTTAACAGAAATTCCATATGCTAACCCGAATTTTTCGAGATCGGTCACTTCTAAGAAATCTTTGTGGAAATAATGGATCTGAAGAACCGTAATAATTACAAAGAATGTTGGTGTGAGTAATCTAACGAAAAGATCCTTAATCTCGTATTTTTCTAAACCGATATCTTTTTGCAAGTTCTCGTCGATATGCAAATAATTCCAATATTCTGGAAAATTGTGAAATTGATAAGTATACACAAGAATCAGCATGATTACAGAATAACCGATAACTGTAAGCCAGAATGGATACATCATCTTTCTCCAAACTGTCCAAGATATCTATAAGAAAGAAAGAAAGAAAGAAAGAAAGAAAGAAAAAAATTAGTTTTATTTTTAACAGATTACTTTTTCTTTTTCCACGTACCTGGAAGGTAATAACTAGAACAAGGAAGAGAGACATGTAAATGATTCTGAACACCGTCATACGTTCACCAGTGATTCCACAAATGAACAGCATAATAGTCACAACTGCGATCCAAAACTTGGTCAATAATTTTTTCAAAAGTATACCGACATCTAACATGAATTTGCTTTTAATTTCCGGGGCTTCGTGATTCATCGCTGTGGTAGCTGTCGAAACAGATACGTGCAATGGTGCCACCATGTCTCTCAATGCCGAGGAACGTCTCTCCCTCGATCTTTCGACCGTGTATTGTCTCATAGTTATCCAGAACATCGATAGAAATAGACACTGAAAATTAATTGTTAACGTTTTGAAAATAAGATAATGTATTTTGTATAAATTAGATTATAATTTACAAATTATTTCTTTTTTTTTTTTTTTTTTTTTTTTTT